TTGGTTTTTCTCATTCCATCCTTCCATCAGAAAGTAGAAACTTTTGTCAGAGGTTTTTTTCTACCCCCTTACACTTAAATGATTCCTGTTTGGAGGAACACGTGTTCTGATTTTTGCTCAGAACGAATTGATTGACTGTTATAACCTGTTTATCTGCCATGATCAAGCCCATTTCTGCAGCTAATGTGTTAATTCCTCTTGTTGCGGGTCTTCTTTTTTGTTTTCCTCCACTTTACCAAGTATAATTATATTTTTTTTCCCCATGGACCATTCTCCCCCGCCCCTGCCTTTTGATGTGTTGAGACTACTTTTCTGAATGTATATGACAAATTTAAGCACAGAAATTGTCTAGGTTTCATGTTACACATTATCATTGTCGACTTTCTGTTGAGGGGACAGCATAAACCCCATATTTTTATAAACCCCCATTAATGCCAGAAGCAGAAGCCAGCCATAAAAATTCTTAGCTTAAGGCAAACACGAGTGTCCCGGGGGTAAAGTCTTATCTGTCCTTGCAAAGTAAAGAATTAACTAGTGTCTACATCACATAAAAAGAGTAAAGGTGGAAAAAGTAGCCAGCCTGTCAAAAGCTGACCCACATGACTGATCCCCCAATCCACCAGCCATGATCTCAATCTCCCCGCCCCGACAGTGGCACCCAGAAAAGCCATAAAAGCAGTTGTGTGTGTGTGTGGGGGGGGGGGACTTGGGGCTTTTCCCCTCACCACCTTCCTACTGAGCCAGAAAGAAAGTCTCCACTTGTGGATATTCTGGAATAAAGTGCTTATTTGTATTTACAAACGTGTGGATTATTCTTTTGAGGGGCATTTCATGGGCAGAACACTCTATGAGGTGTATTGATCTAGTAATAGAATATGACAAGGCTAAATTTGATGGTCTATCATTGGCATTTTTTATTTTCCATCCAGAATCACATTTGCTCTTACAGATATCCTGGAATTACAGCAGTGATATGTATTTTAGAGAGTGTGCTGGTACATAAGAGACCAAAAGAGACCATGTACTCATTCTTCAGCAGCGGTTTGAACAAAACAAAGTAACATGACACGGTTTAAAATGAATGAAAATGCGTTTTAATTGGATATTTCCCCCATGCATGTATAAACTATATGCTCAGCAAATTATTCCACAATCTGTATCAAGATTGATGGAAGCTCTATCAGGATTGATGGAAGACTCACAAACAACATGTCTTGTACAGATGAAATAACATTGCTATCAGAAAGTGAAGAAGACTTGAAACACATCCTGTAGAAGATCAAAGATGACAGCCTTCAATATGGATTACATCTCAACATCAAGAAAACAATAATTCTCACCACTAGATCAATTAGTAACATTATGATGCATAAAATATAGAAATTGTCAGGAATCTACTTTTATTTGGATTCACAATGAACATCTGTGGTAGGAGCAGTCAAGAAATCAAAAGATGTGCTTCTTTGTTAGGATAAGTTGCTGTGGATCTCTCCAAGTGCTAACGAACAACAATGTCAGTATAGGAAAAAACAAAGACAAAAAACAAGGTACACTTGATCCAATTCATGGTATTTTTAATTGTTTCTTTGTATCTGTATGATTGACAGCTAATAAGGATGACCAATAGTAAACACATTTGAGTGGTAATGTTTGTGAAGAAGAGTGAATTTTCCATGGCTAGCGGAAAGATTAAGCAAGTCTGTATTAGAGAAAGTGCAACCATGGTTTTTGTTAGAGGAAAAGATGATGAAACCATGTCTCAGATATTTTGGGCATGTTTTCAGGAGGCACCAGTCCTTAGAAACAGACATTATGCTGGCAAATAGAGAGGGTCAGAAAAGCAGAAGACAGTCTACAAAATGGATTATCGCAGTACATATAACAATGAGCTTGAACAAATTAGAAACTGTGAGAATGACTCAGAAGATTCAGGGGAAGATTCATAAGTTTCCTATGAATCATAGTCAATTCAATGCCACATAAAAGCAACAACAACATGCTGAAATGTCAATGATTTTTCAAATATTAACATTTATATACTTTGCTCTCTTTAATCATTTAGGCTTGTGCTAGGTACATGAATCTAAGGAAAATCCAATGTTCCCCAAGACTCACAATTTAGGTAAGAGTGTCTGAGAGAAAAATTACAAAACTTTGATTTTTCAATTGTTAATACTTTGCTACCAGTAATGAGCTAATCATTAAAATGAATTGTATTATTTAACATTTTTCTTGCTTTTGTGCCTCTTGCCAATGTTTTTTTCATCTATAATGGGAATTTTAGAAAACTTGAAAGGACATAAAGTGTCAGTTTTATAAAAGAAACAAATCAAATTGATTTTCTGTTAAGATTGTGGAATCAATTGTAATTTGTTTTTTGTTGAGTCATTCATATATCTGATGCTGTTATTATCATTCATTCAGACAACTTAGATTGATTTATGTGTGCCTATTTCTCAAATATAATGATATTTAACATTTTGATAAAATATTGTAATTTTTTAATTAAATAGAAAGTTTATTTAATCAAATATAATTGATTCTGTATCTTACACAATTATCTTTTTTATTGTCATTTTCTATTGTCATGAGGCCTCTTAAGAAAACGGAAAGGTCTTTATTTCTTTATTGTGGAGATTGGCCCATTCTAGAGTTTATCTCACTGATAAATATCTTTTCTAATGAACTATTTTTGCTTTTACATTAAAACTGCACACATTTTTGAGACTTCAAAGGAAAATATGGAGTTTAAAGAATATTAATGTCTAAAAAAATTAAGGGTTTCCTCAGTGGGTTGAAAATTGTTATAAGGTGATGAGAATCAGTTCTCTCTTGTAATATATTTCTATCAAATATCATACTATTAAGACTCATCAGAGAGGAAATGTTTTGTGACACTGTTTATGAATGTAACATAAGTATAAATAGAAGCAGGTGGAATGTGATGAGCTAGTGATGTCTTCTGAGCCATAGTTTTCAATATTTCATTCTAAATAAAGTGTATAAAAATAAACAAAGGTAAGAGCTGTTAAATATTGTTGTTTTTGTAGTGTGCCATAGAGTCACCTGCAATTCATAGTGACCATGTGTACAACAGCCCTAAACCTTGCTCTATCTTGTGCCAATCTTACTGTCTCTGACACACCTACTCCCATTACCACAGTCATTGAATCAATCCATTTAATTGAAGGTC